GCACGCGGTGGTGAACTACTCGGCCCCGTCGCACATCCAGACCTACATCCACCGGGTGGGCCGCACCGCCCGGGCCGGCAAGGCGCGGAGGATGCGCATTTTGGGGCGGTTGGTTCCCAATATTTTTTCTTTTGGAGTCTGGGGTTCTCGAAATTTCCTTGCCTTGTTCCCAAGATGACTTTTGGGATCTGGGATTCTCGAAATTTCATGGGTTCCCATTTAGAAGCTCGGTCATTTTGAGGATAGCACTTGTCACAAGATCTCACAAGGAGGCGGTGATTTCGCAGGTTTCACTTGGAGATGCAGGTTACTGTAGCAGATGCTTCGATTTCAGCCTTTCTGGAAGCACATCTCTGATTGTATCCTGTTTCAAACCAACAAGCCTAAGCTAAGACTCGACTTCGTTTTGCGCCAACATTCCGCTCTCTCCCTTCGCGGAGGCATCAATACGAACTCTTAAAGCCACGCATGTCCGGACCCCTCAAAATTGCAACGGCTTCCTTTTGGTGCCCCTTGACCCCATAAAACAGGGTGCCATGCAAAAAAACAACTCTGAATGAGAGAGCGCACATTGGCCCAGAATCAAGGCAAGGCATCGGACGGCACTTTCATTTCATGTCATGCCATCATGTTCATTTTGTCATGTTCATTTCATCTGACTTCAATTGGGCGGTTGACAATCCCACCTACATTTGGTTGCACTCTTTTTCAATTGCTTGGTGGGCCTTTGGTGGGTTTACCAGTGGTCAACCCTTTGGTTCCGGCCATCATTTTGAGGGTCCAAAAGGGACCAGAGTCCAAAAGGTGCAACAAGGTGTCCTTTGGAGCCTGGGGACAACTAAACAGTGGTCAAATTCTGGGTCCCTTTGCAGGGCTTCCGCTGCTTGTTTGCAGTTGTTTTTAGGGGCATGCATTGTTTTTCTGACCGTCCCTTGGCATTTTTGTTCAAAAAATGGGGGGGCATCCGTTTTTTTTTTGGGGGGGGGTCCCTTTGAAGCTGGCGGGGGGCTTGAGCCATGCGATGCGCTGCGCGCCAGCTTTGGGCAGGTGGGGCACACCTTCACCTTCGTGACCTCCGGGGACATGGCCCGCTTCGAAACCATGCTGCGGGAGAGCGCGGACTGCTGGGACCGCATCAGCCGGGGGCCCCGGGGACGGCGACGGGGGATGGCCGGGAGTTGGGAGAGGGGTCAACGAAATGGGTGTTGGTTTCTCTCTTGCAACTAAAGGAGGGGGATTTGTCCCAAATTAGGGGTGATTGATCTAGGGGTTTGCTTTGTCCTGACACTTGGGGGGTTCATTTTGATTGGGAGCCCTTTGCCGGACATCATATTTAGGTGGGGATTTGTGCGCACTAACTGCTTTTGAGGTGACGTATTTTTCACAGTAAATGGGAGGGGGGGGGGGTTCGGATGGTTTTCCACCTTTGGCGGACCCTTCTTCAGATGGCATTAAATGGAAACCAACATCAAGCCAACCATTTTAGGCAACCCAATTCTGACAAACAACGCAGCGGCTATTTCTTTGGTATTGTTCTGCGCAAATTGCAGGCTCACGGATTGGCAGGGAATAAGACGTTGCATTTTTGGTGTATTTTCCAGCCAGTGGGTTTCTTCGGTGTTGTCTAAATGGTTTGGGGGGGGGGCAAGACATGATGCAGGGCCAAAACCTGGAGGGGCTATACAAGGTGACTGCATCTTCCCCGCTCTCGAGCTATAGGAAGCCAATTATTCGGGGTCTAGTGACAACCAGTTGGGTTTCTCTCTATTGGTTTGCCATGCAACCAGTTGCTTCAAGAGGCCGGTGCCACAAGTTGCTTCACAAGTTAGCAAACACTTGGACGCGAGAAGACACCTGGAGGCCAGGATAAGGGGGGCCTCCCTTGCGACTTTTGGTTCACATTCTCATGGCGGGCGACTGGTCCCCCAAAAAAGACGAAGACGGGACCAAGGCCGTTTTTTGGTGCCTGGGCATTTTCCCGCCGTTTAAAAGTGGCCCTACACCCATACGTCCAACAAATCAGGATTGCACAATTCAGCCAAACAGTATTCATTTGAAGAAAACCACTTCTTAGCCGAGATGGAGATGTCCCCAAAAAAGCCCAGGCCTTCCAATGTGGCCAATAGAGGTTCTAAGCGCTGATGCCCAAAAAAGAAGGTAGCCCAAGGGAGAGATGCCCCGAAGAATGTCGGTTTGGGGTTTCATGCCAATCTGCGTGGGAGGTGCCCACGGAAGACCTAAACCATAAAGCTCCGCTCTCTTCTTTCGGGAAGTCCACAACCGCAGTGGAAACCTAGCTCGCGGGAATCAACAAATGGCACCCTGTTCCCCCAACCGCTACCCGGTGCTTTACTCCCCCCAAACAAACTACTTTCACATGTCCCAAAGGCATAAAACATGAGTAGCTGATAGCAAGCTAAGACGCTGTGCCAAGCCACCTCATCCTTGTTCAAATGCCACAACCTATAGACAGCAGCCTAGCATTCCGGAACCAAAGGTCACATAGTCTTGGAAGCTGTGAATTTGCAACGCATTTTCTTGCTGGTGCTCAGTAGGGAATGAGGGAATGACCCCTATGAATCATCTCTTGTGGTTTCCTCTAAGACCCTCAGGTTCATTCCCTCATTCCCTACTGAGCACCAGCAAGTTTTTTTGGGTTTCCTCTGGGGTTCCTCTGGGGTTTGGGCCGGGCGCAACGGAAGTCCCGCCACTTTGCCGCGCCCGAGGCAAGTTCCCCATCCCCAAGGAGGCCATCGACTGCCACGAGCGGTGGTGGACCCCTGCGCTGCGCCAGCTCCAAAGGCGCGCGCGGAAACTCCGCGGGCTCGCCGAGCCGCTGTTGACCTCTGCCCTTTTTCAGGGGAACCCTATGTTTGGTCGGTTTGAAAGGGGAGGCCAAGGGGATATTTTTTTTGGGGCACGCCTATTGCAAGACAAACACCCACATGTTGAAGCACACACACACACACATGCACACGCGGGCATGCACGCAGCACCAGCGGGCACGCGCGCACACGCCCTGCCACGCATAGACCACACACACACACAACCACACGCACGTACACCTCAGCCAGTCTAGTGACTAGGTCTGTTTCGGAGGACTGCCGGCAGCTGAACACTGCCTCGAGATGAAACTTGTCAGAAGCTGCACACTCTATCTCCCTTTCTTTAAGCTCGATTTCGCCAGCGAGCCAGAGTGAAGTTGCGCGAGGAAGCCGGAATGGCATGGGGCACGCGGCTGGACTCGGAAAGTCAAGCGCACTCCAAGCTGAAGAGATGGTTTTTCCCATTGCTTGTCCGAACAGCCAGCCTTTCGCCATCAGGCCAGAGCCAAGAAATCGCAGACATGCGGTTGCTCCGCCAGACCTCGTTTGGCCCAGCAATTTTGGTTCCACTGGGAGCCCTGGGCTCTTCAGCTTTCTTTCGCACGCTCTACAGGTCTACAGGCAAATCCCCCCCCCCCCCCCCCGCGAAAAAGGCGAACAGCAAGCGAAGGGTTGAGCAAACTCCTGGTTCCTAGTACCCTTTCCATTAACCATGGTTATCGACCATGAATCCAACCATGTTTGCCCGGTTGCCTCACTGCCCCCAGAAAGGCCCTTCGCCCCCTTTTCAGCCCTTTTCGGCACCCTTCCTGTGGCCTTTTCGCCGTTCCCTGCCCGCCTTTTCTCGGACTTCGACGGCGCATGCCTCGGTCCGCGCCCACGCCGTCGGCGAGGTGTTTGGACCTGGAGACCAAGGGCAAAGTCAGCAGCACGCGGCCCCTGCGCCTGGAGGACCTCAACCAGGCGCTCGTCGGTTTACCGTCGGTCGGTTTCTGGCCGTTTGTCTGTCAGTTCGCCTGTTGGTTGCTTTGTATTCTTGTTGCATGGTATTGTGTTGTGTTGGTATTGGTATTGGCCTATTTTAGCCTGTTTTGTTCTGTTCAGTTTCTTTGCTTGTTAAATAGTCCTTTTTCCTCGGATCCGAGCTTGGTGTTTCGGGGGGGATGTCATGTTCAGACACTTTGGCCCCGGCTTCACAGGTCACAGGAGGAATGTCTTGGGGTTATATGCATATGATGTGGACATTTGAACAAGCAGGTTGGCCGTTGTTGACTATGAACTTGGGCTGGGGGTCGGATGGCCCTGCTTTTCGGCTGATTGGGGCAGGAAATGCGTGTTTACCATGTTCAGGCTCGATGAGTGAGTCTTGGCCGGAGTGTAGCCCAGCTCTTTACAATGGCATGGCCCAAGGGCCAGAAAGGTTCAAGGGACCAGCCGGAGTTCCGGAAAAACAAAAACAACAAAGAGCTGCAATGTCACCTCACGATGGGGCGCGCATGTTTGCAACAGGAGGAGGAGCCCAGAGAGTCCCCTACGTGTCATCATGGGCATTCACTTGATTAAAACCCTGCTGTGGCCTGGGCAGGTAAGGCCACGAGCCATATGGCCATGGGTCAACATCCCGTACCCCCGATGAACATCCCTAGAATAAAGCCTAAAATGGGTGGTGCACCTACCCCATTGATTTTTGACAACCACAGCCATAGTACAAGACCGGCCTTTGTGTTGTCCGAGTCCAATGCAGTTTGAGCACCTGTGTGGCCGCCACAGTAGTCGGAAAGCACCTGGCAGGTTGCTGAAAATCTGGAAGAGACGGAGAAGGCGAAGAAGAAGAAGACGGAGTCAAAGGAGAGGGAGAAGGGAATCATGAAGAAGCAGAAAGAAAAGGAGAAGAAGTCGGGGATCAAGAAGCAGCAGAAAAGCAAGGAGAGGGAGAACAGCCAGGATAAGGAGAAAGGCAAGAAGAGGGACAAAGTCAAGGAGAAGGAGAAAAGCCAGGAGGTGAAACGCAAGAAGGACGGCAAAAGGGAGAAGGAGACAAGCAAGAAGGCAAAGGGCGAGACACGTGAGGTTCAGAAAGAATCGGAGGAGGTGGGAGGGAAGAAGACGAGGCTTGAACAGACCACGGAGCCAGAGTCACTTCTAGACTTTCTACGAGGCTGTGGTTCTGGATGAGATGTTCATTGGCGGGCAATGTTCTCAGCCCTGCCTCGGAGCCAAGCGAGATGCGAGCAAGGATGCCCGCGCTGCCAACGACTTGGTGATAACCTTCGCTCACCCTACGAGCAGCCGGAAGGGGACGAGCAGCCGGGCCATGCTGAGCCAAATGCCGGCGGCAAACCTAGGAAAGGCCCGTCCAAGCTGCCTCCGCATCAGCATCCACACGCTCGGCTGAGAGTCTCCTGCCAGCTCGAGACACTCTGGCGTCGCTCTCCGTGGAGAAAAGTGTTGCAGCTGTGACATATTCGATTTTCGGCCTCCTTGATGGTGCCTCAATACCCTTGTTAGTGGTGATAGAAGGGCAAGAGGACTGCGCATGCAGAGAGCAACGCATTGGAGTAGGCACCTCTTGCAGGAGCACCGATGAACAGCACGTGTGCAGCGAAACGCGAGCACACTCTGCTTGCCGATCTTTCTGCATGTCAGTTTGCCCCCATTCGAACCCGAAGCCTTGGACTGTTCCTGTTAGGCAAGAAGCTCGTGTCCAAATGCTTGACGGACCCAACAGGAACTTGTCCAAGATGCGCTCAGCCACCCCACGTGCACCCAAAGGAATGGAATGTGAGGCCGGTCCATACAAATTGCTCCGTTCGAACGAACCCAATTTAAAAGGGGTAGGAGAGTCCGCTAAAAAGAGCTGGGTTGCCATGCATGTAAATCGAACATCGAGTCCCCTCCGAAAAGGGATGGTTTGCAGGTTGCATATCCTTAGCCGGACTTGTGATGGCCCGGCCAGGTCTCATACTGTCCGAGTAGCATCGCGCTCCACACCGTCGCCCAAGGTTGCATATTTTTCAAGGTTGCATATAGGTACCATAATGGCACCTTGAGACTGGAACCAAAGACTAAAACCTGCGCAGCGCTAGCTCTTTCATCTTGAGCCACACCCATATCTTTAAAAGGAGCGCCTTTCCCTAAAATCGAACATCCATTACCCTAAACCCTAAACCCTAAACCCCAAACCCTGAAAAGGGATGGTTTGCGGAGGTTGCATATCTTGTCAAAATTTCAAAGGGGGCGCCTTCCCCCCAAAAAGAGGGGCTTGCGCCGATTTTTTCCGAGCGCCTTCGAGCCGAGGGCGCAGCAGCTCACATCGTTGAACCAGTTGATTCAGGCGAGGGAAGTTCGGACGAAAGGATGGGCTTTCTGCCAACGGCCTTAGAAGGAGTCCTTATAAGGAGCCTTAGGAGCTTTTATAAGGAGCCTTTATAAGGAGCTTTACAAGGAGCTTTTATAAGGAGCTTTATAAGGAGCTTTATAAGGAGTTGTATAAGGAGCTGTATAAGAAGCTTCAAAAAAGAAAAAAAAAAGAAGAAAAGAGGTAAGGTTCTCAGGTCCAGGAGTTCCTCCATGTCGTTTTTTTTGTTCGGCGGGGGTTGGCTAGTTTGGGAGTTTCTTTGACTCCAGGCGAGAGCTCTCATTTTGTACTTGTCCATACGCTCATAGTGTGTCGGCAACAGGTCTGCTGGTGGCATTGCAAGCCATGACGCCCCCGCAAGTACAGTTTGCGGCCGGCGCGAACTGTTTCGTGGCTGAACACGTGGCAGGGCTTGCTGACAGGTGGATTGCTAGGGGAAAGTCCGGATGCCTCTGCACATTTGACAAGTGCGCAACCGTGGAAGGGCATGTTTGAGGGTTGTTGCTGCAGCTATCGCAGAGACAGTGGAAGTTTGAAAGGTTGGATGGTTGGCTTTCATATTGATATAGGCATTGGTGCCAAGGGCGCAGGCTATTGGCATTGCCTTTGGTAGTGGACGTCGCCTACTTTCTTCTTTTGAGTTGTTGGCAGTTTGAACTTTGGAACCCTATGGCCTCCTTTCTTTTTTGATTTTTTGGCAGTTTTCCAACAAAAACACGAACCCTATTGCCTCCTGTGCCCTCCCCGAATTTCCAGGCGCAGCAGCGGATGCAGAACTTGGTCAACGGCCTAGTGAACCCGGATGAGGAGAACATCGCCGAAGAGGCTGGGGGAACGCTCTCCCCGTGTTTTTGGGTGCCTTAGCCGAAGAGGCCGGGGGAACGCGGAAAAAAAAGCCCAAAAAACACAAAAACTCTGACTCCCCCTGTGTTTTGGGGTGCCTTAGGAGCCAGCCCCAAGAAGGGGGTGGCGCTTTTTAGGGGACACCACTGAACCACAAGGAAGCTGGTGGTTGGGATCGGATCGTGCCGTTGGTGTTTTTCCGTGGCGCGCCCAAGGGCCGGCGAGTCGCGATCCATGTATCTCAGATACCAAGTGCAACGTCCTGAGAGATACGTGGCCGATGGCCTTGACGCTATGTGCTCAGAATTCCAAGGGCGCGGCTGCTTTGATGGACATCTAGGGACGTTTTCGGGACTCCTCACGAGTGAAGAATCTGCCAGGGAGCTTTTCCTCTGTTCCGGCGGAGAGATTTCGAAGTTCGGTCTGACAATGGCATCTCTCCGCATTGTGGAAACCGAGACCAGCGGAGCTGCCTCCGGACCAATATCCTACTGTGGATGGACGAAAACCTGCACCACTGTGCGACCATGGGAAACCATTGTTGGTTGGTATTTACAGGGGATCATCATTCCAGGGTTTCTTAGGTGGTGCAGGATTTCGTCCTCCACAGTATGTGGCACGTTCCATGAAGACCCGGCTTTTGCTGGGAAAGTTGTACCCCCCCCCCCCACACCGTGCGCACGGAGAGAGTGGACCATCTCACAGGAACGAAGAAAGAAGAGTAAAACGGTAATCAAAGACTGGACCCTGCAATCAGCTATTCGAGGCTGCGCCGCAATCACGTACAGCCAAACCCGGCAATCACGTACAGGTGAGCCCGGCAATCAGAAACGGGCTGCGGTGAGTTTAGGATTGGTTTGCGGTTAGTTCAGGGCTGGGTTGGGGTCGGTGTAGGGTTGGTTCAGGGTTGGTTTAGGGTTGGCTTAGGGTTGGTTTAGGGTGGGTTTAGGGTTGGTTTAGGGTGGGTTTAGGGCTGGTTTAGGGTTGGTTTAGGATTGGTTTAGGGCTGGTTCAGGGTTGCTTTGGGGTTGGTTTAGGGTTGGTTGGGTTTGGGGCTGGTTTAGGGACGGTTTGTGCGTGGTTCAGGTTTGGTTTAGGGTTGGTTTAGGTTCAGAGTTGGTTTAGGTTTGGTTTAGGGTTGGTTTAGGATTGGTTTAGGGTGGGTTTAGGGCTGGTTTAGGGTTGGTTCAGGGTTGGTTTAGGGTTGGTTTAGGGTTGGTTTAGGATTGGGTTTAGGGCTGGTTTAGGGCTGGTTTAGGGCTGGTTTAGGGTTGATACAGGGTTGGTTTAGGGTTGGTTTAGGGTTGGTTTGGGGTTGGTTTAGGATTGGTTGGTTTAGGGTGGGTTTAGGGCTGGTTTAGGGTCGGTTGGTTTAGGGCTGGTTTAGGGTTGGTTTAGGGTTGGTTTAGGATTGGTTTAGGGTGGGTTTAGGGCTGGTTTAGGGTTGAGTTGGTTGGTTTAGGGCTGGTTTAGGGTCGGTTTAGGATTGGTTTAGGGTTGGTTCAGGTTTGGTTTAGGGTTGGTTTAGGATTGGTTTAGGGTGGGTTTAGGGCTGGTTTAGGGTCGGTTTAGGATTGGTTTGGGGTTGGTTCAGGGTTGGTTTGGGGTTGGTTTGTGCGTGGTTTAGGATTGGTTTAGGGTGGGTTTAGGGTTGCTTCAGGGTCGGTATAGGGTTGGGTTTAGGGCTGGTTTAGGCTTGGTTCAGGGTTGGTTTAGGGTTGGTTTAGGATTGGTTTAGGGTGGGTTTCGGGCTGGTTTAGGGTTGGTTCAGGGTTGGCTTAGGGTTGGTTTAGGGTTGGTTTAGGATTGGTTTAGGGTTGGTTTAGGGCTGGTTCAGGGTTGGTTTAGGGCTGGTTTGGGGTTGGTTTAGGTTTGGTTTAGGGTTGGTTTAGGGCTGGTTTAGGTTTGGTTGAGGGTTAGGTTGGGGTCGGTGTAGGATTTGTGTAGGGTTGGTTTAGGGCTGGTTTAGGGTTGGTTTAGGGCTGGTTCAGGGTTGGTCTAGGGTTGGGTTTCGGATTGGTTTCGGCTTTGGTTCAGGGTTGGTCTAGGCTGTGTTTGGGGTCGGTTTGGGCTTGGTTTAGGCTTGGTGTAGGGCTGGTTTGGGGTTGGTTTAGGTGTTGGTTGAGGGTTGGGTTGGGGTCGGTGTAGGGCTGGTTTGGGGTCGGTTTAGGTTTGGTTTAGGGTTGGTTCAGGGCTGGTTTGGGGTCGGTTTGGGCTTGGTTTGGGCTTGGTGTAGGGCTGGTTTGGGGTTGGTTTAGGTTTGGTTTAGGGTTGGTTCAGGGCTGGTTTAGGGTTGGTCTAGGGTTGGGTTTTGGATTGGTTTCGGCGTGGTTTAGGGTTGGTTTAGGGTAGGTTTAGGGTAGGTTTAGGATTGGTTTAGGGTGGGTTCAGGGCTGGTTTAGGGTTGGTTCAGGGTTGGTTTAGGCTGTGTTTGGGGTTGGCTTGGGCTTGGTTTAGGCTTGGTGTAGGGTTGGTTTAGGGCTGGTTTAGGTTTGGTTGAGGGTTGGGTTGGGGTCGGTGGAGGATTGGTGCAGGGTTGGTTTAGGGCTGGTTTAGGGTTGGTTTAGGGCTGGTTCAGGGTTGGTCTAGGGTTGGGTTTAGGATTGGTTTCGGCTTTGGTTCAGGGTTGGTTTAGGCTGTGTTTGGGGTCGGTTTGGGCTTGGTTTAGGCTTGGTGGAGGGCTGGTTTGGGGTTGGTTTAGGTTTGGTTTAGGCTGTCTTTGGGGTTGGTTTGGGCTTGGTTTAGGCTTGGTGTAGGGTTGGTTTGGGGTTGGTTTAGGTTTGGTTTAGGGTTGGTTTAGGACTGGCTTAGGGTTGGTCGAGGGTTGGGTTGGGGTCGGTGTAGGGTTGATCTAGGGTTGGTTTAGGGCTGGTTTAGGGTCGGTTTAGGGCTGGTTCAGGGTTGGTCTAGGGTTGGGTTTCGGATTGGTTTGTGCGTGGTCCAATCATATTGGCCGGTTTGGTCAAGTTTGGTC